CTGCGGCTTATATCAGAGCTGCATTCCCTTCTGAATGTATAACAGTATTCACTTGTCTGACTACAACCTTTGCTTATTCTGTTAGCAATCAGGGAACACAGACTGTTTCTTCCCCTTGCCTATTTAAACGTGCTAGAAGGAACACTGTCTTGTTGACATTCCTGTTATCTTGTGTAAATAACTGTGAGTGTGTGTGCTGCTTGTGTGTTCTGCTTTAGAAGGATGCCAAACTACTGCCCATTGTGGCTTTACCATTGTCTATTCCCACCAGAAAGCACAGAATTCCTGCTTCCCCTCATTCCTGCCAATCCTTGTTATTGCTGGGTTGGGTGTGTAGCCATCCTGCTGGATGTGAAGAAGCAGTTTCTTGCTGTGGTTTAGATTTGGATTCTAGCATCTACATGATGCTAAGAATCCTCTCCTGTGATTACTGTATATCTCACTGGAAGATTCTTCTATTTCCCTTCTTAGGAATTCCCCTGCTTTCTAACTGAGCTGTCTTTTTAGTTGTAGTTCTTCATTCTACTTCCTTCTAAACCTTCCCTGTCAGTTTCAACAAACTCTAAAGTTCTAATATTCAATATATAGTGATTTAAACTTTTCTCTACCTCTGCTTTTCAAAATTTCCATCACCACCTCCTTCTTGGTCTCAGAGCCATTTTCAGTGCATTTTTTGATAGCCCATAGCACTGTGTTCTTTGGTACCTGGTCTGTGTTAGAGTGTACAGTACAACTACAAAATTCACTGTGTAAAACTCTTGGTGCTTCTCTGAGTTCCCAACCAGGACACAACTTCGCTACATCCTTGGATGCAGTACTGTCAACAGGCTGCAGCAAAGAAGACATGGCTTTGTCCTCTGCAGTATACTTGAACCAGGATCTGCTTCCTAGTGTGCTGTTTTGGGCAGCTTTCATGTCTGGTGTGCTATCAGGCTGAGGACATCAGGTTTTTGGTTCATCTGAATTAGAGGCCACTTTCAGTTAAAGTCGGAAATGGGGGGTGTTCTTGAAAGAGAACGATTACAGTATTATGTGACATGACCACAGAAGTAGATGAGTTGTGAGTTTTAAAGGCAAAGGGTAAAGGTTCAAAACAGAGATTATCAAGTTAAGGGTTTCAGGGACTAATGAGAATGTATCAGATGACATCTTATCTTTATGAAAATGTTTTTGCTCTGTGATGAGCTAAAGTGATGTCCAATATGAGAGTTACTACTCTCTTCTGGTGTGCTGTCTTAGCCCTCATGTTGTGTTTAATGGATGTACAATTCTCTGGTGTCATGAAAGGATTCATTCTTCCAGAATGTCCCTGTGATGGGATGACCAGTAAAAGTGAACCAAGAAAAACGGATCTGGGCTAACAGACTGTAATGAGAAACTAGCATAGACTCAACTAGATTAGAAGGATATGTGATAGAAAGACAGAGACAGTGCTGTAAATCTAGCCTCAGTGGAAGTATAGAATATAATTATTTTTAGATAAAATAGGTTTATGGAAAATTGATTTATGGAGAGACAATGCTATGTTGCTAGTTAGCTTTTAAATGCAAAATAACAGCAGCCATGAGAAAGATTAAAACCTTAATTTTTAATGGATCATAAAATGTGTCTGTGCCTCTCCATGCTTTCAGACACCAAAACCCAATAGAGCCAGTAATATATTAAAGACATTAGTTCCTTGTTTTTAATAGCCAGTGGACTTATGAAATGGGAACCAAGTGCTGGCCTATCAGACAAATATTTATCCATAATTAGTAACAGTCTAAGCATCCTGACATACCCAATAACTGCTTTCCTACTCACCGCTGCTTATACATCTCACGGATGAGGGTATCTGTAGGAACATGGGGAAGGCCAGGGGCCTCAGAAAGCAAATGCATTTTTCATCATTGCAGAGAATCCAGACTGAAGGCCTTGGCCAATCCAAACTCTGACTCACCCTTTAAGTTGGAATTCTGCATAAAGATACAGGCCTAGACATTTCTGTTCCCCTTTGACCACTGCTACTGGGTATCTCATCCTCAAATCTTCATGTAGCTTGTTTCACAGGAGAACTGGAGAGGGAGAAAAAAAGAAAAGGTAAAGTGGGTTGTTCATCATTGCCTTAAGTCCCAAGGAGTAATTGGTTAATACTGGTTCAAAGTCCAGAGCTCCATGAACAGGTAACCTTGAAGGAGATTTTAAACTGTAATAACATGCCGAGCATTCTCAGAGGTGGCCTGCTGTAGGCGAATACAAGAAAGCATTTCTGTACACTGATTTATTTTGCTCTGGGGATATGGTAGCCCAGCTGCTGTGCTCTTTATTAAAAGTCAAGGGTTTTATAGACATTTTTAGTAGGATTTCCTTTGCTTTCTCTGCTGTGTGTGTGTGTGTGTGTGTGTGTGTGTGTGTGTGTGTGTGTGCCTGTAATACTCATGTTAACTGAAAATTTAAACTAGGGAAAAGCAGTGTAGAGAGCCCACACATTTAAAATGTGAGTGAGTCAGCTTATAAATGTGAGATTTTTTTTCCCCTTGTTCTTCCTCTAGTGAGCTACATACAGATATTTTGAATTAAATGTGAAAGGTCCTGGGTTCTGAGTTTTCTTGACTTCCTTAAAATCTGTTCTCAAAATAAATAGCGGCATTTTTCTGGAACTCTCCATGCACAAACATAGACATGAATATTTACTTACTATAACCCCAAACCTCTATAGAGACTTGCTATAAGAAAAGTCTGTCCTTACATTTCTCTTAACTCTTTTATTCCTAGAAACTATGTCTTTCTGTGTCTCTCTATCTCTCCCTCTCTCTCTCTTGTTAAGAAGGTCCTTCCTTCTCCAGATGAGCATGTAAGAGTGTCCAATGGCTTTAAAACTGAGAGCCAGGCATCAGGAGTATATCTTTACAGCAATAGAGTGATATTTTTCTATAGTAAATACTGAAAAGGCAAAAGGCAAAGAATGACAACTGCACAGGTCCATTGGCTAGTCAATATGTCCAAGTTTGTACATGCTAACCTGCTTTCTTGGGTGCTTCTTACCTATCTAGAGACTCCTTCTGCTGTGACGTTGTCCACTGCCTCTCCCTGAAGATGAGGTGCTGGCTGAGGATCCCGCTGCTTATTCTTTCTGCATTCACACGGTTGCTTTATGATGTTTCTGCCATGCCCATGCTATCCATCTCTCACCCTCCCCATCTCTCCACCACCATTTTTATTTATCTAACCTATTCCTGGATGCAATCCAGTTTGTGCCACTGGTTCTTCCTGCTTGTGACCTCTCCTGAGGTTCAAACTCCAGACTAAGCTCAGAGAGCAAGCATCTCACTTCTTGGGGCTTCAGCCACCAGTGGGATGAGGCACCAGCCATGAAATTTTTTTCAGTTCACTCAAATGGTACAATATTACTTGTTGACTTCCTGGAGGCTTTCCTTGGCTTTCTACTGTTTTGGAAAAGGTGGATCATCCCCTCTTGTGTCATTTCTTCCTGTTCTCCTCTCAAGACTGTCATCTTCCTTGTTTGATTCTCCCTTTCTGCCTTTAATTAACAGGTAACACACCAGCAGGTAGGTATTCTCTTACATCATCCCATCATCCTATTTCAGCTTGCTTTTCCTCTTGGCACTCTGTGCTCATTCCAAAAGTCTCTTGTTTTCCATCAGGGTTCCATCTGCTTGATGGAAAACAAATAGACCTTATAAGAACAGCTGTCAGTGCTTTCTGGTCACCGTCTGCTCTTCTTTTCTACCTCAGAATGCATCCACTTGGAGTATCAAGTGCAGTTTTGGTGTACAGCAAATGATAAAAGTATCACTATGAATCATGGTAGTGTTTGATGCCATGCACATTTCAACAGTGTGTCTACTTTCTCTATCCATCGGAGGCTGTGAGCGCCTGTCCATAGCAATCCTTCTGTGACTCTGTTCGCATAACACTCTGCAAAATTAAGCTCTCATTAGCAATGGTGTCATGAAAGTCAGTGGCTTAGGCCAGTAGGCCTAAATCTGTGTCCTGGAAGATGACCTTGCAAGTGAGAAAGATATGATGAGAAAAAAAAAGTTTCATATTCTCATACTCCCTCGAGGCTAAGTATGGATTCAGTAGATGTACAAATGATTTTAAATAGTCCTGCCAATTACTAAAGGCGTCATTAAATTTGGTTACCTTTGTAGTTACATTCTTCCTCCATACATTCTATCACTTATAGAATGCCCATCCCTTTTCCTCTTATGTTCCCTTGTTTTTCTCATTTCACTCCATTTCATATACAGTTTGTTTTAAAGATTTCAGAAAAACGTATGTCATCATAGGGCTAAAAACAAGTTGGGGTATTTAATGTCAAAACTGGCAAATTGGATGTATGTATAGAAGTACAGAAACTAACTATTGTAAAATGGTTCCTACATTTGTAAGAATATAATATTGTACTTAGTAATCCATGGTCTTTTAGCTGGAAATCACTTGAAGTTGTTCTGAGAGCCTAAAAGAAAACTTAAAAACATAAGCTAAAGTAGCAAGTGTCATGGGCCTTCAGGCCAAGCTTATGCTTGAATTCTTTGCCTTCAGAAGATTGTGGACTTATTCTATTGAAAAACCAAGACCCTTCAAGTGAAACTGTGCTGTCTTTGAATTCATAACCTATACTATCTTTTGATGTTTATGCCATGCATATAAATGCCCTACCCAGATGTTTTCTGTATGCTCCTATTTAGGGGGTATCTATTGAAGGGTTTTGTTCTGTCTTGTTTCTTCTTTACGTGGCTGCACAGGAAGTTCCATCCTGCATTGTGAGTTTGGCATTCTTTTCCCTGTCTGCCATCTCTACCATTGTCTGTGCACACTCAGCATGGCTGGCACTACATCTGCCCCCCGTATGGTGCAAGTACTCCAAACACAGAGAGCCCTTCATGCAGAGCATGCCCATCTGTTCAACATCTGTCCCAGGGATGGGAAGCAAAGAGGCTGTGGCCTCCTCTGGCACTAACCAGTCTCCTTTTCCTCTGGGTTCCCTATTACAGGTACTGCAATGAACATTTGCTCTGCCCACCACACGTGTTCTGGACAGGCTGGGGACCTTGGGAACGGTGCACGGCCCAGTGTGGGGGTGGCATTCAAGCCCGCCGTAGGACCTGTGAAAATGGGCCTGACTGTGCAGGATGCAATGTGGTAAGTGGCCACCTCAATCCCACACCCCAAAGCCAAGAACCTAGTCTTGAAACCTCTTGGATGTGCCAGATGCTGCCAGCGCAGTAGGTTCTTAACACTCTTGATAGACACTAGAACTGGGCCATCTGCACACACCAGGGACTCACACATCTGCTCACAGTTGTTCTAACTGCCAATATGGATGTTTTGTATGCTATCTTTATGCTTTGCAGAACCTGCCCATTGTATAGACATAAAACGCGCAGACATTGAATGGTCGTTACGTTTTTTATGATCTCATACACCATCTTCTCTTTACACATCAACTCAGCAGGCCCTATATGTTTTATAAACATTAAATTTTTCTTAAATACTAGATCTGTTTTGTCAAGGACCCCGAAGCTCTGAAAGTTTCGAGGGCTTGAGACATGTAAGTGTCTTACATTAACTAGAATGTAGAGGGCATGGTAGAAAGTTAAAGTACTTGAATTAAGTATGCACATATGGAATAAACTAACTGAAGAATCTTCCAGTTCTGAGTACAGAGCTGTTACAAGATCTTGTGCTATTGTACTCTGGTCACTCCATTTGGTCTTAGGAATAATTATCTTGTGCTGGGCTCCCAGGCACACAGAATGCAAAGTGGTCATGACACTATGTGTTGACAGAAAAACTGGCACCATTGTCAGCGTGAGTTTATAACACATCACAGGGAATAAAAGACCACTTATGGTTTTGTTTTTCTTCTGCCTTAGCAAGTCATATTTCTTTTAACACTTTAAACTGCCAAATAAAAATCCATGTGTGCAGGCTCTTTTCAAAAGGCCCATTGTTGTGTACCCTGCTTTTTCTATTCAAGTGGCTGAGCACTGAGTCTGGCTGGCAGCTCACCTTGCTCACCTTCCCAGTGCTGACCACAGGCTGGATGAGCTATGGTGGTGAGTGCTGGGTGGAAAAAGTCAGCATGGGAAATGCTGGCCTGGTGTTTGCTCTCAGTGGTCTTTGCAATGGGTTTTTTGATACTTCTGCTCTTTGTGTCCTGAAGCTAAATAATGTTTTTAATGCTGCTGTAAAGCTTTTTTTGTGAAATATATAACCCAAACAACTCCAGAGAACCCATGGGACTTTGGGGACAGGAAAAGGGTTATGAGGTGCTGTATCAGTTCTTGTGCCAAACAAGGATTTTTTTTTTACTAAGATTTGCAAGTAGATCTCTTCCCCCTCACGAGGAAAAGCTACTGCAGGGTTACTAATCAAACATGTTAGTGAGTCTGAGATCACTTTAGATTATGAAAAATCTTCACATTCTGTTAGATATATGGATACATAGACAGGCAGGCAGGCAGAAAGCCTGGCAGGGAGGCAGAAGAATATATATGGATACATAGACAGGCAGGCAGGCAGATAGATAGATAGATAGATAGATAGATAGATAGATAGATAGATAGATAGAGATAGAATTATAGAATTTTAGGTACTAATTTAATTTAAAAATAGTATGCATAAATGATAAATTCCATTATTCATGAAGACCTTTGTGTATAATGGAAGACCTTCAGTCTTTGCTGAACTAAGTCATTTTCTCCTGTTGTGCTGACTGTGGGGGCTCTGTTCTTGCACATAACATTTCCTGTAGCAAACCGTGAAGGAGTAACCTGAGTTAATCCGTACCTACATTCTAAACACTTTGCAGACCAAAGAACTCAGGAAGCAGTGCACAGCGTTATTGTAAGTTCATGTCGATAATGACATTAACAGACAGATTAACCTGCAGAAAGGCATGGGAATGGAAGGAAAGCATGCCCCTTGTGAGATTTATGTGCTAGATTTGATTGCAAATGTAAATATTGAAGGTTTTCCAAAATGTTGCTATTTGTTTATTGTTATGCTCTGCCACAGTGGTTATGGAAACTCAGGCATATTTGACGGACAGATTTTTGACACACAGGGGAGGCCTAAGCCTCATGTGTGCACCTGAGTCTAGCCTCTCAATTTTTGAGTCCTCGAAGATCACATCAGTGCCTGGAATGAATGCTTCTATGAATCAGCACTCCTCTGTGGACTGGGACACACATCTGCAGCTGAGTAGCTAACTGTGTCCTACAATGCCACTCCCTAGTAACTGAGCTCTTTTATGAACTCACAGTATGACATACTAAGACACTAGGACACTTAACAGAGGAGGCAGTTAGGTTAGCACCCAACTCCAGGCCAATGAATCGTTGGAGCTTCTTGGATCCCCTCTGCATGCCTGTGCCTTGCAAGGCAAGTGAGATGCTGTGTGCCTAGAACTCACCCACTCTAGACTTTGTTTCTTAATTCCCTGGAGACCTGATTGAGTGTCCCTGCATACCTCCAGGGAAGCAGTTTCTATTGAACCATAGGGCTCCAGCAGCTGAAAAACACGGAATCTTCCTTACAACTAATACATGGTGGTTTTGTTCATTCTGTCTAGTGCCAAAGCCAACATGGCCATTAGTCAAACAGAAAGTAATGTCATCTCTTCATTGGCAGAAATACCTTGTCAGAAAAACATAATACAATTGTGTCCTTTTTGTTTAATAATATAACAGCAGCAGAATACGTGTTATATGTCACTAAAATTTAAATTATCTCAATCTAATATAATTCATTAACATTTAAATACTAATAATTTGTGTTAATTACCCTTCCCATATTTATTTTTATGTTCACCTCTTTTCATAATAACTGGTGACCACAGTGTTGTTAGTGCAGATCTTGCCAAGTCCAGCTTGCAGTACCTTTCAGATTGCTTTCTGTTTTAATGATAAACACCATGATCAAAGTGGCTTGGGGAGGAAAAAGATATATTTCTTCTCACAACTCTCAGATCATCCTCCATCACTGAGGGAGGTCAGGGCCAGGGCAGGAGCAGAAGCAGAGACCACTGGAGGAGTACTGCTTCCTGGCTCGCTTCCTCTGGCTTACTCAACAACCTGTCATATACAGCCCATCCCATCTCCCCAGAGCCTGCATCTACAGTGCCTGGGCCCTCCTTTATCAATTACCAATTAAGAAACTGCCTCACAGGCATGGCCACAGGCCAGTCTGATCTAAGTAATTCCTCACCTGAGGTTTCCTCTTCCACTGTGAGTCTAGATTTGTGTCAAGTTGACAGCTAAAGTAAGTATGACACTGTGTAATACGAAATAAACATTTGAATTAAATGGTAAGTCTATACATTTGAGTCACATTCCACACACTGCGGTTATTCGTTACATATGTCATGATAGCCTGAAATCTCGCTGTACAATGAAACAAGTCTCTCTCATTAAGAATTTCCTGTATGTCACACATTGCACTACATAAAATGCAGACTCTATTTTTGCTGTGTTAGGAGAGGTGGTTTTCATTACTGCTTCTTCCTGGAGACCGGCATGCTCAACTTAAGAAACGTTAATGAACCTGCCCAATAACAAGATGCCAGTAAATCAGTACATAACTAGACCAGATAAAATGCTCTGACACAAATAGAACTTAAAGACTTGACTTCATTTACATAATGTATCTGGAAAAAAAAAACCTAACTTTTCTTTGTTCTTATTCTTTATGAGCCATAGCTTAAAAAAAAGGGGGTGTTTTATTTCAGTTTGTGTTTTGTTCTATCATTCATAAGCAACATTGATTTTGTTTTTCTTTATTTTGAGAGTTTTAGGCATGTGTACAATGAAATACATTTTATATATAATATATATACCCCTTACTTATGCCCTCCAATTTTCTCCCTATATTTCCCAATATACCTTATTTCTCAAGATTATGTCCTTTTTTATGGCCCACTAAATCCAGTCACTGCAAGCATATGTGTCTGTTGCAGGGCCATCTACTGTAGCCAAGGAAAACTACCAGTGGCCGCATTATCAAAAAAGAATGATTTTCTCTGCTTCTCAGCAACCATCCACTTTAGACAGCTGCTTGGCTAAACTCTCCCTTCTAACCATGGCAACATTATAAGGAGATTATCGTGAGAATAAAAATGAAAAGCGAATGAAAGCATATCAAAAACATCATTCTGGTGGTCTGATAAAGGTTAAAACATAGGAAAGAAAGAATACACAAAATGCCAAAAGCTGTATGAGCGGGCCACTTCTTAAGTTAATGCAACCCAAATCCCCTCAAAAAGCAGCAGGTGCTTTATAAGGGAGAAATAAAGGCAGTCTCACATACAGCAAAGATAATTCAAAGAATAAGACAGACCAAGTATTGCCTACATTATATTTCTTGCTCAAATATCATACAAAGGATGAAGCAGTGGAATAGAAGCTATGATCTAAAATACCAACAGGGAACAAAGGACGTATTTATATCCTAGATATAAGGAAGGGCCACAAAGGGGCCAGTAAGGTCAAGAAGAAAGACCTTGAAATCAATACCATCCCAAGAGATTGTGTAAAAGTTAATCAGAGCTGGCTGAAGACACTCATGTGTGTTTGTACTAAGAAATGGTACCCTATAGTGCCGTTCAGAAGATACTCAAATTGGCAAGTAGAACTTGGGTGATTTTTATGGACAAAATAATGGCAGGATTATATGTCCTTTGTTTTTGTGTTAGCACATTGGAATCTGCAAAATACACCTCATATATTCTTTGTTTAACAAATGAGAAAATTGAGAACCATGGAAAACCAGTTATGTTCCCTGAAGCTGGCAAGACCCTGCAGGTGCAAGAGAAAGACCCTATTTGGTCTTTTAACCCTGTTCCTGAATAGTCCCTGTGTATGCTGCTCCTTCCAGAACACACAATACTGAGGATGGGTGGGGTGAGGGTGGGGAGTGTTAGCTCCTAGCCCAGCTAGCCCACACTCATGCCAGCAGTCAAGAAAAAATGGCCTAGATAGGCACATTCTATATTTGTCTTGAGCTCTAGTTAAAATTTATTTTTATAGAGTCCAAAGACTTTTCCTCAGGCCAGAAATGTGTAAAACAGTTTAGTTTTAAGGGGCCTCATGATGAGAAGAGAAATTATTTTAGATGTTTGTGATGCTCATTTTATCTATCTA